CTTACTAAATTGCCCATCTCCGTCACCCCTTTCATCCATCTCTCTCTTCCTCCTTCCATCCCTCGCCTGCCCCTTGCTCTGCCTCTCGCCTTCTCCCCCCTGCTCTCACTCTCGCCTCCCTCCCCCTTCTCGCCTGCCCCTTGCTCTGCCTCTCGCCTTCTTCCCCCTTCTCTCATTCTCGCCTCCCTCCCCCTGCTCTCACTCTCGCCTCCCTCACCCTGCTCTCACTCTCGCCTCCCTCCCCCTGCTCTGCCTCTCTCCTCCCCCTGCTCTGCCTCTCCTCCCCCTGCTCTGCCTCTCCCCTTGGCCCCCACCTTCTCGACTCCCTCCCCTTGCTCCTCCTCTCCCCTCCCCCTGCTCTACCTCGGCCCTCCCCCTTCTCTGCCTCTCGCGTCCCTCCCCCTGCTCTCACTCTTGCCTCCCTCACCCTGCTCTGACTCTCGCTTCCCCCCCCCTGCTCTGCCTCTCGCCTCCCCCTGCCCTGCCTCTCGCGTCCCTCCTCCTTCTCTCACTCTCGCCTCCCCCTGCTTTGACTCTCGCCTCCTTCCCCCTTCTCGCCTCCTCCTGTCACTCGGCACGCAATTTGCGACCGTGTAGTTGCTAGCGTTGCCCTGTGAGCGCGCGCGCGCCCGCGTCTGCCGACCAAGCTGCCAATGGTTATCACGTCAGTTATCGGCTCTCTTGTTTTGTCCGCGACCGTGTGTCGGCGCTCTTCCTTTTGTCTCTTCGACGGAGAGTCCGTGATCGCTGTCAGAGCCGACGGCGGGGAAACATCGAGCGATTGCAGTTGCAGCTGCGGGTGGCAGTCCAGAAATTCATTGAGTCGTTGTCGTCGTCGTCGTCGACAAATTAAAACCTGCCGAGTTTGTGCGGAGAACCTTAGACGTCAATAACTCCCCGTGATGCGTGGATGCGTGAGCGCGTGCGTGCGGTGTCGGTTCTACACCCCGTGATCGCGTGCTGCGGGAAAAGGAATGAATGAAGTACGTTTTGTATTTTTTTGTCGTCGTCGTCGTCGTCGTCGTCGTTGTCGACGTCGTCGTTGTCGTCCTCGTCGTCGTCGTCGTCGTCGTCGTCGTCGTCGTCGTCGTCGTCATTGGGTGTTTGTCGGAGGTTGCCTTGTTTCACGTTGCCTTGAGGTTAAATAGATTGTCGTATATGTTACTAGTGAGTGAGGGATGGGCGAAGGGAGAGAGAGAGAGAGAGAGAGAGGGAGAGAGAGAGAGAGAGAGAGAGAGAGAGAGAGAGAGAGAGAGAG